ATTATCAATCATGAGCCGAGCAAGACTTCTTTATCGTCGATACCAGTACATGTTGCCGACTTTCTCTTCGATAATTATGTCACTAGAGTCGCTCCGCAGTATCCAATTTACTACATCCCGGAGCTGACCTCGATGCACAACGCCGCATTCCATCCGGCAGACTTGAACGAAAGCACCACCATTCTGACTGCCTACGAGATCTTTACGCTCAACTTGATTATGGCTATATCTTTATCAACAGCGGCCAGATCAAAGCAAGCCCGTGCCTACTCAATAGCAACAGGTCTATTTGAGAACGCAATGGAACAAATAACCGACGTGCTCTCAAATGATTTGCGTGGACTGCAAGCGCTGACATTGCTCACACAGTACACATTCCTCAACCCTAGCGTCGCTAACCTCTGGCTTCTCGCTGGTTTTATCAGTCAAGCATGTGTAGACCTGGGCTTGCACCATGAACTACCAGACCATCCTTCCGTTTCACCTATGGAGCGCGACATGCGGCGTAGAGTCTTCTGGTGTGCCTTCGAAATGGAAACTGCAGTGTGTGGAGCGCTTTTACGACCGATAACGCTGCTTCGGAAGAATATCACTGTACAATTTTCCTCGCAGTTAGAAGACACAGCTATCACAGCTGAAGGGCTCAATGCCAAAGGCAGATCGACCAAATTTCCGTCTCACTATATTTGGCGGTACCGCCTTGTGGAATGTGACATTGTCCCAGTTCTTTTCCATCACGAACCAATCCCGCCAACATTCACTTCCTTGGAGTCATGGATGGCCCACCAAGAACGAATGATATTGGACTGGAAAGCCGATATTCAAGAGGCTACCGCTGGAAACACCGATTCGTCCTGTCAATCCCAATGGGATGAGATGAAGCTCTATTCCACCATAGCTACAGACTACATACTTGTAACTTTGTTCCGACCTTGTCCACTGATCAAAGAACCTACGGCTGAAAACCTGCTCAAGGCCTTCTCCGCTGCAGTCGGCGTTGCCGATGGCAGCTGGGAGCAAGCTAACCTGGAGTTTGGCAACAGTAAGTACGTCTTCCACTCATGCTACCATTCCTTTTCTGCCGCGGTTGCCTTCTTGCAAGCTTTGCAACGATTCAAAGCAGAGATTGCGGCATCCTACTCATTAGAACAAGTCGAGTTATTCATGGACATATTCTCCCGGTTCTTCGCTACAGTTGCAGAAAGATGGCCGGCTGCAGCAAAATGCCTAGAAGAATACGAGAGACTTCTGGCTCCAGTGAGAGCGGAATTTACAAACTTCGCGTTCCAAGAAGCACAACGGATCTCTGAACGATCTTCATCGATCACTCGTCTTGTCGTTTCACCAGTATTTGACCCTTCGAAAGATCTGGAAGAGGCTATGAGCTTTGGGACTTTCTTCAACGCGACTGGGTCCGGAATAGAAGACAATCTCAGCTGTTACCCATACATACCGATGGACTGGAACGCCGAGTTCAATTTCGATGTCAGCACAGCAGTACCTTTTCGATGATAAGACGAACAAGTAATGTTAGCGAATCTTGTTGTGCAAACGATTACCTCTTTAAAGTTGTCAATTCGGCCTGGGACTACAGATAAGAAATTCTTGGGTCGCGAGTCAATGATGTGTGCCTAGAACGTTGAGTAGTTGTGATAACAATTCCTGGCAGTCATGAAAACCCAAAGACAGCCATCTGTTTTTAGCTCCACTCGCGTCCGGCCGTTAGCCTTGTGCGCCGTTGGCCGTTAGCAAGATTGGGAGTTTGGGTTCACCCCAGATAACCGCACCACAGGAAATGAGGTTTGATAAGGCTCCTCCAGATTCGAATCGTAGAAGATGTGCGCAAAATGTTATGCTCCCTGCGCTTATTGCCGTAAGTCACTTCTGATTGAAGAGGCCTCTATATATATCTCGCTGCGCACAGGGTTCTGGATACAAGGATACCATCTTCCACGAATCTTTTAAGTTTCCAGACATTCAATTTATTTGTCATCATCATTATGGTTGTTCGGAAGCCTACACTCGAGATACCGGTTATCGACATTAGCGGTTTTCTCAGAGGGGACGAAGATGCGAAGAAAACTTGTGCCCTGGAGTTGCGCTCTGCTCTTGAAAATGTTGGATTCTTCCAGATCTGCGGCCACTCAGTCAGTACCGACCTCCAAAAGCGGTTCATCCAAAACATTGCGGATTTCTTCGCACTTCCACAGCCTGAGAAAGACAAGATCGGCCAAGACAAGTCCCCCTGCAACCGGGGTTACGAGGCCATTGGCGTTGAGAGATTGGAAGAGATTGAAGACAACAGCCAGATTGAAAAGAAGGAAGGGTTCACTGTGCGGTGTGAGAGGCCTCTTGGACGGTTCATGACGGGACCAAATCAATGGCCCGATCCAAGTCTACCTGGTATGAGTGACTTTCGAGGGACGTACATGGAGTACTATTCAGCCATGCATCAGTTAAGTACGAGCATGTTCCGACTCATGGCTCTAAGCTTGGATCTTGATGAGCACTTCTTTGACGCATTTGCGGCGGACCCAGATGGTGAGTCTTCTCTTCTCTCTCGAGTCTCGCACCATATTCCTAACGTAGGTACCAGGCATCCAACTCTGCCGATCACACAAGTACCCTGCCTCCCCCAACGGCACCTCCAATCGAGGTCGTGGCATCGGGGCGCACACCGATTTTGGCGCCTTGACGCTTCTTCTCCAAGATGATATCGGTGGTCTTGAAGTTCTAGACAAGCTGACTGGCACATGGCACCCTGTCGTCCCAGTTGAAGGTGCCTACGTCATCAACATTGGGGACTTGATGCAGCGATGGACAAATGATAGGTACCGTAGTACCATGCACCGTGTGTGGTCACCGGCCTCGGACAAGGCTCGGTACTCAGTGGCTTTCTTCAATGACGGAGCCTTGGACACGGTCATTGAAGCCATTTCAACGTGTGTCCCGGCCGGCCAGAAACCGAAATACGGACCACTCAAGGTAGAAGATCATCTCGTCAGACGATACAAACAGAGTTACTCTTTGGGCGGAGCGAACATTATCACGCCATCGGCAACACTGGTGTCGAAGATGGATAGCGTCGTGCCACTCCGAGAGATTGTGGCCTAGAAATAAGAGTCGGAGAAAGGTTGCAGAAATAGTATGCTATCGAGTAGGTAAATTATTTTTGTATGGGTGATGATTATTGATTGAGATCTCAATATGGTTTTTTCGGGATGAACTTAAATTGTCCTTTGCTGGAGCTCCTCTTTCTGTCGAACGGAGTTGCGAGGTAATTTTGAAAAGATAAATTAATAGCATTCATTTAAGCATTACAGAATTCTTTGCGTCGTTTCGTCAACATACTCTAAGGCAGGCGGTGATGGAAATCCACACACCGATCCGTCCTTAATTACTACCTCATGGTCCTCAGCCTGCGCATACCGTCCCTGGACCAAATCCCGCATGTAAGTGTAGGGACAATCACCAGCTCCGTTATTCACCGCCACGTAGCCTCGATGACCTAACTGGTAGAGATTATTTTCGACACCCCATTCTCGTCTTCGTCGTCGAACTTCATCTGCTCGGATCTCGCAGGCAACCATGTGGTCAGGAGTGTTATTCCCTCGCTCCAGGATGTTGCCTTCAGGATCAACGAACATGGCCTGTCCCATGCTGCGCCACGTAGAATCTGCCCCCGCCAATGCGACGCTGACGGTGTACATGAGATTGGTGAATGCATTGGTTCGATTGGTCAATTCCCAACTATTCTTGATAGGCGAAGTGTAGCCAGCTGTCCGCAAAAGCACTTCAGCCCCAAGATACGCGGCCTCCCGGGCCATTTCAGGGAACATGCCATCATGGCAGATGATGAGAGACATTCTCACTCCTCCCGGTCCAGTGAAAACAGATACACCCTTATTGCCAGGATACCATGGCTCTACTGGAATCCAGGGGTGCATTTTCCGATAGTAGTTGACCACGTCTCCCTGGGAGTTGATGGTGAGGCCGACATTCCAGGGATAGGCTTCAGCAGAGATGGTGTTCTTTTCCATGATACTGAAAACGCCCCAGACTCCCTCCTCGGCACACACTTGTTTAAACGCTGCAACTTCGAGGCCGTCCAGAGTGCACATGATACTAGGTTCAATCGACATCGCCAGGCCGTGAATACAGTACTCAGGGAACAAGACCAGGTCGACGCTCGGATACTCTCGTTTAGCACGACACACTAGGTTGCAAACATGCTTAGTCGCATCAGACAAGTCCTTTGGGGTGTCGACGCGAAAGAGCTGCGATTGTACCGCGGCGATGACAATGCCACCTTGCGTCTTGTTCAATCCGCCGAGACCGCTCATGATGCGCAGATAAAGACAGTGAGTATGCTGAGCGTCCGATTAGAGATTGAGGAACTCGAGTCATCGATATCTCAATCATGGTTTAATTATCACATGCGCAAGTTCCGACTATCCGGCATAACAAGAACACCCCCTCTTTTGCCCAGCGCTCATAGCCGAGTGCACTTACGGTGATGACCGCCCAATTCTCCCGGCGTGGAGATGGCGTTGTTATCGGTGAGTCTGGGGCAAGCCCAGAATTTTGTAATCGTCGGGGTGGCTCGCTTGACCAGTGAGGCCAATGCGCTTATCAACGCTAACGGACCAGAACGCTTGAGTGAGTTCCCACCCATCGCCTTGACGCCATTGAGCGCACACAACAGTATGTGCAATCGCAGAAAGAAGCCTGTGGGAAAGAAACCTTCGTCAATTTAGACTTCTGGGTACGTATCTTTGGATCTAAATCATCGAATCTTAGGTTTCTAGACTGTCAATAGCATACGATACATAGATAAGCATATCATGGAGATACATTTCTCCCCATACATGGCTGGTTGTCGATATATATCAAGACTTATGGGCAAGTAATACTACTTCTGTGCTCCTGCTCATCTGTTCTTGACGTGCACTGCAATTCTTCCAAGACTTATTAGCACGACAACCTCGACTAAAGCGACAATGACCGCCGAAAAGACTGAAAGCACCGTCAAACCCGTGGAGAATGATAGTCTACCGGGCGAAATCCTCGAGGATGACGGTGAAGTCTTTAAGGATAATGCGGACCACGCAAAGTTTCGTGCCCTGGGGCTGTAGGTATCTTTTCGTTGCTACCTTGCAAGTCATACTCTGACAGTTTTGAATCAGCATTCCGACCATCATTGTTCTCATCAAGCTCTGCTTTGCGACTGGAGTGTTGTCAATTCCCGCTGCCCTTGGAGTTGTGGGCTATGGACCAGGCGTCGTCCTTTTGACACTATGGAGTGCATTGACTATGTGTAAGTGGATGATAAATGTTACAATCTGATTATTTTGGGCAGGGCACTGATCGCCGTGTTTGATGTAGATTATGCCTTTGTCATGTATCAATTCAGGATGAAGTACAAAGGTATTCATAATATCGTCGATGCTGCGATGCTCATGGGTGGACCAATTGCACGAGAGGCTACTGGTGCTCTTTTCCTTCTGACTTGGACGTAAGTGATTCCTATCAGTCGAGTGAAGCGGTATTTTTATGCCTAACTCCAAACAGCCTGTGCACTGGCTCCGGATTTGTTGGGTTGTCGCAAGGTCTCAGGATCCTCGCCAATGGCAAAGGATGTAGCATCGTCTGGACACTGGTCGCCGCTATCGCCACTGGCATACTTTCGAGCATTCGAACTCTCGGGAAGTTAGCTATCCTCACTTGGATAGGGTTCGCCAGTATTTTTACGGCAGTTTTCATTGTGGTGTAAGTCGAACAAGCCTATTCCTACCTACTGGACTAATCTTTGGTTCGCACAGGGTTGGTGTAACAACCATTGAAAGGCCTGCTGCGGCGCCTCAAGAAGGCCCCTTCGACCTGGGTGTCATCGCTGTAGGACATCCCGGATTTGTCGCAGGACTTGTCGCGGCGCTGAATCTTTTCTGTACGAGCCCCTCCATGATACCTGCCCTTTTAAAAAGCCGCATCTAACGTGGATCGATAGCTGGATTTGGCTCAACCTCCACCTTTATGCCTGTCATGGCAGAGATGAAAGTACCCAGAACTTTTCCAAAGGCGCTCTTTATTTCTCAAGGCCTTTTAGTTGCTTGCTATATTTCCTTCGGCCTGGTCGTCTATGTGTAAGCAATTATGACGTCATTCATAGGCCATCCCTGTCGCTAATCTTTCTCTCCAGATATTGTGGAATTTATGTCGCCAGTCCGTCTCTTGCAAGTGCAGGAGGAACACTCGAGAAGGTAGCATATGGTATCTCCATCCCGGGTTTTATCATGACCTCGACACTCTGGACCCACGTCGCTGCCAAGTTTGTATGTGTCTTTGCATGATTTTCACCTCGAGACTAGAGTAGCTGACAGTGTTGTAGCTTTTTGTCCGAATCCTTCGTGACTCTGATCATCTGCAAAGCAACAGTTTAAGGCACTGGGTTACTTGGCTGTAGGTGCAATCCTCGAAAGCTTCCACATTTGTGTTTCCATATGAAAACTGATCTTTACATGCATATTTCAGATCCTCAACCATCTCTCTAACAATCGTATCCTTTATCCTCGCTGAAGCCATCCCCTTCTTCAGCTTGATTTTGGGCCTCATTGGTTCCCTTTGCTGTTCTCCAACCTGCGTAAGTTCGCGACCAATTAGTGATGACTACATGTACTGATATCGGGTAGCTGGTAATTCCTGGTTTCATGGGCCTCTACATGCAGCGAGGCAACTACACGTCCAGCAGGAAGATTATGGCACTTTGTGCTCTGCACTGCGTCACTATCGTCGGGGGCTCATTCATGGCCATTGCTGGTACTTATACAACCATTCAGAGTATTGTTGACGCTTATGCTTTAAACTCTGTGGCGAGGGCATTCAGGTGCTCATGAGTAGGATGAGTCCTACCTTTTACAGCAACTTGAATAGTCTTTGTTCATACTCAGATATCCTACCTTGGCCGAGTGCCTGACAAGAGCGGACAAGGTAAATCCGGTAGTCATTCAAAATGGTAATCCTGTTTTCATACTCCACGAATTCGTTCATATGATCCAATTTATTCGTCGGGACACTACGTCAGTATATTGTTCAGCTTGATGTAATGTGTTTTATGCAATGTCAGGTCCACTGCTTTCCCTTCTCACAAGAGATGCATGTGGTGAGACAGTTAAAGACACACCCGCTTCGACCGATTTCTAGTTCCAGCTCTTTGCTCAAAGTCTGTAATATTTCTCATTCACCACCCACGGACTGTCTAAACTAACCACGACGCAGACGACAGCGGTGCTTTAGGCTATTTCGAAACTAAAAAGAGTGTCTCAAACTTGGCTAGAGCGGTCTTGTGCGGCTCCGGCGTCCAGTTACCAGCATTTGTCCGTTTCCCAACCGTTATCTAGGCACAAGGATATCCCAACTTGGCCCGTACCCACGAGACTTTGCCATTAAATTCGCTATGGTGAGAAGCAAAAGTACTATGGGAGGGCGAAGATACTGACATCGGGAAATATGGTACATACTGCGCGGATACCCACTCTATTGTCAAGAGTCGGCTCCGAAGCTGCACCAGATAAGCCTAAAACAGCATAGAGTCATGCCAAAAACCCTTTAATCCGCTGCCGCCTGCTTTCAACATGTTCCCGCCATACGATACATACTCTTATGAGAGCTCTTGAGCGTGCCCAGTGCCATGTATCACTGCGGATCCGATATCGATAAAGACTGAAGGAACGAACGATGACAGGCCGCCCATGGGGAACCCTGGCGCGGAGGAAGATTGTCACGGCGGTTTCCATATTGGCGAGTATTTTCTGCACACGTGGATAACGACCATTTTCACCAGTTTCTCTCTTTAAAAGGAGTTCGGGACATCACCACAGTCTTTCAATCAGAGCTTTAGGTCTTAGTTCTTTCTCCTCGTTTTGAAACTGTTGGCACTGGTGATTTAGCTAACTAGGATCACACGCCTACCAACCACTTTAACACAATTGCCCCAGGGAGATATGTCTACATCACACCGAACACCCGTTCATGACTTCGACATCAAGGCGCAACTATCCCTCCCTGTCCTGGAGCACACAGAAGACGCTCCTGTGTCTCTTGATGATCTTCGAGCTGCAGAAGAAGGGGCCGATGTATCCATTGACCGTCGATTGGAGAGGAGAATCAGGTACGTCAAGTGGAGCACACATATCACTCTGGCTGCCAAAAGGCTATCTCAAAGTCATACCACTAATGACTGATACCGCAACTCTTGCCAGGCGAAAGATAGACCTGCGTCTCGTTCCCATCCTCGCTGCGATATACACCATGGCACTAGTTGATCGAACGAACCTAGGGAGTGCCAGAATTGCAGGACTAGACGAAGCTACTGGCCTCAACGTTGGGAACCACGCCTCCATTACAAGTGAGCACTTCAACGAACCAAAAGTCGACATTGACCCGTAGGATCACGACATTAAATGCTAACAAGGACGCGAATATAGTATTGGTTTTCTACGTGGGATACATTATTTTTGAAATTCCGAGCAACCTTGTTCTTAAAAGGCTCGGTCCTGCAATTTGGCTGTCCACTCTCTCTCTTGCATGGGGTTTGGTGACACTAGGTATTGGCTTTAGCAAGAACTGGCAGATCGTGGCCGCCTGTCGTGCTGTGCTTGGTATCTGCGAAGCCGTGAGAAACCCACCTCCCATACTCCTTTGAATTAGCTAAAGTTATGGACAGGGCATGTTTCCCGGGTGTCTGTATCTTCTGGCATCTTGGTATCCCAGGTTTGAGGTGCAGAAAAGGTTCGAAATACTGTCTCAGGGATTCGGTGCGATATTAACCCATCATCCAGGATCGCCATTTACTTCATGACGGGCTCTTTCCTGTCTTCATTTGCCAACATCCTGTGTGTTGGTTTGACACATATCGCCGACGAACCACAAACAGATGGTTGGAAATATATCTTCATCGTCCAAGGAGCCATCACCATTGCGATAGCCATCGTTGGTTGGTTTGTGATTGTCGACTTCCCTGAGAAGGAGATTCAGAAAGGCAAATTTCTCTCTGCTAGTGAGGCGGACGTTGTTAGAGCTCGGCTTGTCCGCGACCATAATGCTTCTCAAGGAGAACGCATGACATGGGAGACTATAAAAATTGTCTGCCTTGATTGGAAAGTGTGGTCTCTGTCAGTCATAACCATTCCAAAGCCATACTGTATCGATGACTAATCTCACATGACAGGTCTTTCACGTACATGGCCGGTGCTGCTGGCGTGTACGGCCTATTGTTATTTCTGCCAATCGTCCTTCGGCTAGGACTAGGATACTCTCAAACAAAGTCGTTCCTCCTCGCTGCGCCTCCTGCTGCGGTCGCAGTGATATTTGTCTTCCTGGTCAGTATTATATCGGATAAATATCGAGTTCGCGGACCATTTGTCTTACTCGAAGGATCATTGGGCATTATCGGGCTGTGTATGATTGGCTTCCTGGATCACCCAACTCCAAGATACGTGGGGTCCTTTCTGGGGTCTTGCGGGTGCAACGGCCTCATTGTCACAGTGGCTTCCTGGCAACAAAACAACATCAGGGAAGATGCAAAAAGATCAATCCTGGCCGCAATCCAGGTCTCCTCCGCTGGTATTGGAGGAATCTATTCAGCATTGGTCTTTAGGCAGCAGGTACGTATAGGGACGACCTCTATCGTATGTACACGGCTGATACTCGATCACAGGATTCGCCAAATTTTGTACCCGGCCTCGTTGCATGCTGTGCACTTGTGGGATTTTCGATGTTGTTGACCCTAATCACCATTCCCCTTCTCATACGTGCAAATAGACAAGCGGATAAAGGCCAAAGGATTATTGAGGGCAGCACTTTGTTCCGCTATGTCTGGTAGTAACTACATACTATGGTAGAGGGATAGGAGAAATCAGTACCGTCCTTTTTGGCCTTTCACACGATTCATTCCCCAACTCAATTGTAATCGGGGCAGATATTCCTTGGGTTGTATGGTCTTCCTCTAAGCTACTGTTACATCAGTCAGGTTGGTTTACAGCCTGGCGAATAAATTATGTTTCGTCAGGTCTTCGTCAGCGGTTACTTCTATTGGTTTCTCAACGAAACCCGAACCAACAGGACGGTAGCTCTATAGTTTTATCGAGTTGTCTGTCCATGGCCCTCTATGTCCGACTGGCCTGAGCGAAAGCATTGAAGTTCGATTTGTGCCTGCAATAAGCCAAGGGACAGATCGGGTCCCGGAGGCCGGGGCCCGGAACATGAAAGTCTGCGGCTCCGAATCTTTTTGGCATGGACGCTTATACATCACCCAACCGATTCGTCGCGGGGAGGACTGCACAACTCCGAGTTCCCCGGATCTTCCTCCTTTGTCCGGAGATGCATGCACGGGGCGCTCGGTGAATTGTTGGTCCATGCCGGCAATAGCCGTCGCAGTACAGGAATATTCCTTAGCTTCGACACGTGAGCAGGCCAGTACCCCTTGTTCTTCCCCTCCTTTAGATATAGCAAAACATGAAGCGCTTGTGCCGTTGCTGCAGACACATTAAACGATCCCAGTGTGCCGCAATACCATGTTCAGGCTCGTCTCGGAGGTTGCGCACGCTGGGCGACTGTTGAGAGTAGCTGCAGGGAACAACGCATCAATTCAACGGCGCTGGCTATCGAGTTCAGTTAGTCGATGCAGTGCACACATGTGAGTTATAACTCCTCATATCAAACACATCTGCTAAAACTCAGCAGATCGCACTTTCCCGGTGCACCTCAAAGCCCTCTCACAACAGGCCTGCACTTCACTCCACCAGCAGCGTTGGCTCCTATTCCAGTATACCGCGTATTGGATGAAAATGGCAAAGTTCTTGATGAGACTGGCAATGGAGTGTCGGATATCACCGACGAAGAAGTCCTGATCTGGTATCGAAACATGTTAACAGGTAAGATGCGCCGTTCCGACAAAATACGGTCGTTACGGAAAATTAATCGTGGTCAAAAGTCAATATTCTTGATTCCATAATGTTTGAAGCCCAAAGACAAGGACGAGTTAGCTTTTACATGGTATGATGTCTCAATACTGTAGCTGAACCTCTCATGCTGATCGCGTGTTGCCTAGGTATCTGCTGGAGAAGAAGCCGTCACGGTGGGCTCGGCAGCTGCCCTCGGGCCACGGGATATCATCTGCACCCAGTACAGAGAACACGGTGTCTTTCAACAACGAGGCTTTACGTTGAAAGATTTCATGAGTCAGCTGTTTGCTACCCACAATGATCCGGGGAAGGGAAGAAACATGCCCAATCACTACAGCGGAAGAACTAAAGTCGGGGTGGTAAGCGACCTACCTTCATCCAATGCACGTCTCACCATCTGACGTTCTTGTGAATAGCATGCTGTTGCCTCAACTCTAGGAACACAGATCCCTCATGCAGTAGGTGCTGCTTATGCTCTCAAGCTCGACGCTCAAGAGAATCCTTCCGATACTCCCAGCCTTGGTGTGGTGTACTTCGGAGAAGGAGCAGCCAGCGAGGGGGACTTCCATGGCGCCATGAACCTTGCATCTGTCAAAGACTGCCCAGTTCTCTTCATGTGTCGCAATAACGGACTTGCGATATCCACTCCAACCAATGAGCAATACCGCGGTGATGGAATCGCGAGTCGTGCTATTGGTTACGGCATGGAGACAATCCGAGTCGATGGCACGGATATCTTTGCGGTCTACAAAGCGACAAAGGAAGCACGACGAAAGGCACTAGAACGAAACCGACCCATTCTACTGGAGTTTATGAGCTATCGTGTCTCTCATCACAGTACAAGTGATGACAGCTTTGCTTACAGAAAGCGAGGAGATGTGGAAACGTGGAAACTGAAGCACAACCCAATCTCGAGGCTAGGAAAGTGGCTGGAAGCCAAGGGTATCTGGGATGAAGATCTGGACAAGAAGGCCCGGAGCGAGATAAGACGAGAAGTTCTCCAAGAACTCGCTGCTGCGGAAAAAGAAAAGAAGCCTACCTTGAAAAGCATCTGGACTGATGTGTATGCTGAGCTCTCAGAGGAGCAAGAGGAACAACGGATAGAGCTTAGAAGGCTGATGACTGAGTACCCGGCCGAGTACGATGTTGACGGTCATGCAGAGGGGATTAATGGCCTATGATGAATCTTTTTCTAAATTCGAAGTCTAGAAGCTTAGAATAATCAAAGTACTTTTTTCAGTATCGATATTTTTTCATGTACACTGGATTTCCATGCAGCAAGTATCAAAAGTAACTGCCTCTACTGAAGTGGTTGGACTACACCGTTAATACTCTAGGGTACGCTTGATCCCGTCATATATTCCTACAAGAATCTTTAGTATCTCCGATTTTCAAGGATGAAGGAGAGTAACTTACTTGTCCCGTCTGGAATGACATACTTCTCCCACGCCAACCCAGTATGAGTCGTAAGTCCACCGATTCTCATAACCGGAGCTTGCAGATGTAGGAATACTTTCTCTTGTATCGTGGCGGCGACCTCGGCTCCAACCCCATAATTTACCATACTCTCATGCACCACGATTGCCCTGCCGGTCTTCTTGACACTATCCATAATTGTTTTCCGATCCCAAGGATATATCGTCTGTAGGTCAATCAATTCGATCTGAACTCCTGGGAAGTCCTTCTCTGCCGCCTGAATGGCAGCTTCACAGGTGTAAAGTGGACGACCGTACGAGATGATGGTGACATCCTTCCCAGGCTTCAGGACTTCCGCTTTGCCGATCGGCAACGTGTAGAATTCGTCTGGTACCTCCTCAACGGCAGCTCGATACAGAATCTTTGGCTCCAGAAAGAGTACAGGATCTTGAGATTCTAGCACGGAGGCAAGAAGCAGACCCTTAGCTCGTGTAGGTGATCGTGGGACAACCACCTTGAAGCCTGGCACATGGCAGAAGACCGACTCGGGTGACTGCGAATGATACCTGTTGAAGCTGATAAGTCGACGGTTCGTGAAAAAACCCAGGAGCTCACATACAAGGCACCGTGTCCAACACCCCCGGAAGGCATTCTAATCACCATTCCACCAACGTTGGCTCCTGTCGATCCTTCTCGATACCTGAACTTGGACGCCTCGTTTGTGATCTGATCGAAGGCCGGCCAAACATAATCGGCAAATTGTATCTCAACTATTGGTTTCCTCCCTTCTGCAGCCGCGCCGATCGCCATACCAACGATACCCTGTTCCACAATAGGTGTGTTGAACACTCTGTCTGGGCCAAACTCATCCTGCAAGCCCATCGTACAGCGGAAAACCCCTCCGAAGCCTACGTCCTCGCCGAAACATAGCGTCTTAGGATCTTCTTTTAACGCTGTTCTGAGTCCTGCATTGACGGCCTGGAAGAGGTTCAGACGTGAGGTGCTCGATCCCTGTGGAAATTCGGGCGCCCCTGCGATAGTCTCTTTAGTATGATGTAGTAATTGTGTCTTGGAGAAATCAACTGGCACGTTTAGCCTGCGGATTGAGGATACAGCACTCGTCGTCGCGTACCCGCGATGCGGCAACGAATGCACCCAGCGTTTGATTAATGCCATGTGTCTACCATCAATGAATAGTATTCTCATGAAAGAAACCCAATAAGACATCCCAGTCACTCACTTTAGGTTGCTCGATGGAACATCGCCACGTGATCTTTCCCGGCGTTCGGGATGCTCGGGAAATCCAATTTCATTGAGCGGCTATCATCGGTCAAACCCCTGCATAGACAATAACTAAGAGAGGCTGGACGATCCTAGAGACATGCAAGCCCTATCGAGATGCAAGCCCTAGCGACTTGTCCCAGAAAAGCTCTAGGAAATACTTAGAATCTCGGAGTCATTCCTTGCTCCGCGAGGAGGAAGTCCATCACTCGGAGTTAGTCTCATGCACTTGACAATTAGCCCGCCGAGAATCAAAGAATCCGTAGTCTAGAGATTCAATAAAGTCGTTCAGTCGCAATCCGAGACCAAAAGTTATCCAGGTGGTGGTTAGCAAGCATGGAAATTGCACTCAATTTTTTAATGCGGCGTCTCGCAACTCAATACCTAAGAGGGAGTGGCATCTCGCGCGCGAGGTTTCGATATTCACAACAATATCCGACACGGCTTTTCCACGCATCCCCCGTCGTGCAGAAGGTCGTCCCTTTTATGCTGGCAGATATTGGCGAAGGTGAGCACCTCCAATCGATCGCACTGGTAACATGGACTCAAGGGTCTAGGCATTACCCAATGTCAGGTCGTACAGTGGTTTGTCGAACCGGGGAGTCAAGTGGAACAGTTTGATCCCATTTGTGAAGTGCAGTCGGACAAGGCCTCTGTTGAGGTATGAGTAGCTCCCGATACTGAGCGCAGCTGGCTAACACTACTCTGGGTAGATCACCTCGAGGTTCGGCGGTGTCATCAAAAGCCTCCACTATGCCGTTGATGATATGGCAATTGTTGGAAAGGTAGTGAAGACCCTCAAACTTGTCCTACGTACGCGACTAATTGTCTCCAGGCTCTTGTCGATATCGATGTAGACGATGCGATCTCTCTAGACGATGCCGGCAGCATCTCGCAGCAACCTGGCTCAGACAAAAGTGAGCAATTGGCCAAGGACGACCTGACCTCAATGGAAGAGTCACTCCAGAGGCAGGATACAGAACAGTCACAGCAAGTGCACCCAGACACTAAAGAAATACCTTCCGCGTCCCCGGAAGCAGCTTTATCTACATCTCGTAAAGGCGCCGCGATTGCAACACCGGCGATTCGGCACCTTCTAAGAAAGCTTCAGCTCGACATTCACGATATTATCGGCACTGGTAAAGACGGACGGGTGAAAAAAGAAGATATTGACGCATATATATCCTCATTTGGTGCTTCCGAAGACAGCCAGAGGGCAGCGCAACCACCTCATGCAACTATGGACTCATCCCATGGAGATAAAGTGGTGAACCTGACTAACACGGAAAAGCAAATGTTTGCAGTAATGACAGAGTCACTGTCAATTCCACACTTCCTGTACAGTAACACCATCGACACTACGAATGTAGAGTACACCCGAAAAGCCATCATTGATCAGAAGCACCTTTCACCACTCTTCAAGACCGGCGCCACGGCATCAAGGATTACTATGCTGCCTTTTGTTTTGAAGGCAATATCTCAAGCCTTTAATTCCTATCCAAGACTGAATGCTCATCTCGACCTCAAAAATAACCCAGCCAAGCCCCAGCTGACCATGAAGGCCAGCCACAACTTTGGTATCGCAGTCGACACCCCGCAAGGTCTGCTGGTCCCTGTCGTCAAGGATGTTCAGAATCATTCGGTTCTGTCTCTAGCAGCGGAGATTGGACGTCTCAACAGCCTGGCTCAAGTAGGAAAGCTGGCACCAACTGACTTCAAGGGTGCCACCTTTACAGTCAGTAATATTGGAAGCATAGGGGGAGGAGTCGTAAGCCCGGTAATTGTTGGTCCGCAAGTGGCCATAGTTGGTTTGGGCCGAACGAGATGGGTTCCAGGATTTCACACAAACGCTGCTGGCGAGGAGATAGTTGTCAAGAAGCCTGAGCTCACGTTAAACTGGAGCGCCGATCACAGAATTCTTGATGGAGCAACGACTGCTAGGTGTGCTGAATTTGTGAGAGCATTCCTAGAAAACCCGGCTACACTGAGCCTGCTTTTGCGTTGATAATATGATTGAATCACATAGAATTCACATGCTGAAGATGGTATTCAAGGTCTGACAACAACGGAAAGCAAGGCAAGAGGATCTCTGAGGTTTTTCCCCGGCGGCTATGGAAACAGCGATTTGACGAAGTCAATATGTATTCATAATTATCTGATATTCTTTTCATATAAGTAGAAATGGAAGAAAACGCTAATAACAAGACACAATCAACAAATTAGAGTACCTCAAAACCCGTAGGTCATGTTTGTCACGATAGACTCAACGTGACTGGCTGTTTTGCGGTAGCTGCGCCGCCTTCAGTGAGCCTTACCGGCACGACCATGTTGTTCGTAGACGAGCGATCACCAACTAGGAGATCTACGCCATATGCTATGACCCATTGAGTGATGGTGGGCCAAACGCTGGAGTTGGGAGTCCGAAGGGCCCAAAGTCCGCTTGTTTGAATGGATTGCGTGATTTCAGCGATAGTTAAGAGTTGACTCGTGTCGGCGTTCCAGAACAGACACGAGTCAAACTGGAAGCATCTGTAGAGAAACATGCTGATATTGTCTGGAGAGACTGTCTGTCGGTCCCTCTCAGTGTCCGCGGGTATTTGGCCGACCGCCTCAAGGAGGACTCGAGCAAGCGTGCTATTGGAAACACCAATGCCAGCGTTGTCCAGAACAGTTTGTATATTTTGAATAAGACTTGCTGTCGACCCGGTATTGTTTTGAAAGCTGAGGATCTGGGGAAGACTCTCTTCCTCGGCCTCGAGTCTGTCCAAGAGAGGCCCGTCCGGATTCGGTCCGTTCACGTCCCAAGGGTTTGGGTTGGTGCTGTTGAAGTTGAAGCCACGGAGATCAGGAGGGGACAACATGGCAGCGATAGTCCAATCCCCGTTGGTGTATGCGGCTGCCGGCGTGCCACCAGGAATAGATGTTGTCGAACTACTAGGCCTGGTCAAAGATGAGGACGATATTGAGGGTGAGATTAGGGACCTGGATGAGGATGAGGATGTGGGTGCGGTACAAGCTGTGATTGTGACAGTGTATGTAGCACCAGACCAGTCATCCCAGGCAGTGGGGAGAGAAGAGACATTTATCACGATACTGGCTAGGACGAGACTTTGGAAGAAATTGGACAATGCCATGGTGTTTTGAGGCTGGCTCTGCAACGTCCAAATTTTAGGGCAATATGCTGAAAATTTGTGAGCAAAGCTGAACGATGATGATGACGATATGAGTAAGCTGTATATAATGAAGCATATTCATGATATAGCCTTGCATCCAAACTTATAGATAAACCTGAGGACATTGTTCAAGATAGATTCACATAAAATAGGTGGTCGGTATGCTGTGAAAAGAGACTATAGCGACACATTCTGTCACAACGGGGTTGGGAGTACTATATTGTTGACAGCCAGCCTCGTCTTTTTGACGGATGCAAAAAACAGCCTTGAGAGCTAGCTTCGCACCCGGACGTCTAGAAGGACAGTGCATGACGGTCGACCAATGAAACCTCAGACTGGCCAGCCAGAGACTGATTTAAGACTTCATTAAGGCCGTGCTTATAGGTTTTTGCTGGGAGACTGGGAAAGCCACCATATGCAAATATAGTATACAACATGTGTTGAGGAGTAGAGTAGGCACCATACATAAGCCAAAGGTGGTAGAATAGCTTAGCTTGCCCGGATCTTGAGGGCTTATGGCAAGTTTAGCTATGGCGAAAGATGTCCGGCGTGGCTCCAGGTGAGGAAACGCCTAGATATAGTCTGCAGTTCATACAAACCTTGATACACCGTCCAGGAGTAAAGAACCACAGGCATATGCACCAACAGTTTGCCAACAGGTTGGCAACAGCTTATGTTCTAGAATAATTGTCCGTGCTTTGGACTTGGTTCCTCGCCAGGTCTAATCTCCGATTAGGTTTCGTGGGGTGATCGGACAACGGTGCTCAGGCCAGCCAGTGTTCGAGGCTTCGCCATTAATCTTAACGGCCAAAACTACAAGTCGAACAAGGTTCTCATTATTTGATAGGCTCGGTAGTCCTGCTATCTCTCTCGAGAGAGACACAGGCCATGTCGCCACGGTGATAACGGGGTTGCCCTGGCTCTAAGCTCGATCTACACTTTATGGCTACTATAGCATCGGCACGAGTATGGTGACGATGAGGAAAGGAGCAGACTACCATGTCCTCTGTATGTTATATATCGCCGCGGTTACATTCGTCTCAGTATTCAAATCATTGAAAAATATTCGCCACTGTCTCCTCAACGACATGGCTTCACAATCGTTAATACTTCTCTCTCTGGTCCCGTTCTGTCTAGCAGGCCTTCAGGTCCCGTTGACGATTATCAATTTATCACCTTTTCCAGCGGTGATTGACATGAATGGGGATTCCAATTGCATCAAGGGGTCATTCAACCCTAGTGATCTCAACTCTTACTACTCAAGCTGGCCCAGCTCGAACCTGGTCAACGATTACGATGATGGCAAAATTTCCTCTGATATGGACAACTTTCTCCAAACGTATAAACAAATTTTTGGCATCAACGACCTGGGATCGCGGCGGTACTCCATGTACAGCGGTGTGACAACCCTACCAGCGGCCGCGGTCAACCAAACTACTCCGTTTGGCGTTTTCGAGACCGAAATGGCGGGTAGCGGCACCTGCTTCGGGTCCAAGTCATGGAAGAAGTTCACAATTACAGCTGGACCGACGACGACATTCCTTCAAATTTACGACCCTCCTACGTCGAATTGGCAGATTATCAAAGATCCCGATGGGCCAAACCCTCTGGCGGTTGACATCGGCCCGGGTGGTAAGGCCAATGTGGTTCGCGTTGTTATCGACGCCGTCTTTGGCGCCGCGACCATAGCCTTAACTTTTTTTGGCCTCACTGAACTGGGTGTGGCGGCTCGTGCAGGAGCTCTGGCTTTGTCGGCGGCGACTCCGGCATTCTATACTTCGACAGTTCTTGTCCCTGGTATAATCAATGCTCTGATTGTCGGCGGAGTCACGGTCGTCGTCGGCGGTGGAGGTATGACTCCTTTCGCTCTAAATGTCAGTCGAGCAACTTTTGGGCTAATTCTGTTTCTAGGTTTCGCAGCCGTTGCACTGGTCCCAGGACAAGACCAGGTCAGTGGAGCTCCTAAGACAGTCACGCCAAAATCTCTTGGGTTCTACGACGTCTATTCAGGTATCGATCTCTCAGACCGTAGTTGTTGTCTGATGGGCGATAATATCATGGGCGAATTTGATTGCCTTGTTGCCAGTACATCAATCGTTATTCAGGCCGACGGCACAACGTTTGCGATTCCTATGCCACAAATATCGAGAGCATGGACGTAAAGTGTGCCCACGAACAGCCACTCGAAAGCCAGGCGGTACAGCGCAATATTCAAGGGAACACCAAAGAGATCTCAAGGCCAAAGGACTGGATGACACAGTTATCATGTCGAAGATAGCTCAGGCTCGCGTCCACATGGCCAATAGCACAAACATCACCAAATTTTGCACATTGAAAGGCAGGGTTCGTTGTGGGGAAATCATCCCAGAAGAAGGTATACTATTACATTATATTTCTGATAGTCAAAATACCGTAACGTAATACTTGGACATAGAAGTTATATTCTAGAAAGAAAGTGTGACTTATTATCGAGTGATTACTTTTCCGACCTACTCAAATCAAGGCCGGCCACCATTAACCTTAATTTTTTGACCTGTAATGTCGCCCGAGCGACGTTTCGGCAAAAAGATAAAACCACAGAGAAAGCTGCGGGATGTGAAGAACGATTTGGAGGATATGACATGATAAAGGACGCATTTTGACTCGCCAGATCTGGGGTTGTCGTTCTGAGGGACCTCAATTTTGATACAGGGAATAGGTGACCCGATAAGTTACGGACTGTGTATCATCATTGCACGGAACCATGGGAAAGTTATACTACCACTTGGATAAAAGAGTCGCGCAATACGTAGTTCAGTTGAATTGGCCTATGTTATGTACTTAATCGAACATAGCCAATTTACCAGCCTATACTCTCTTATGAAGTTCCGTCCAGCTCATATCAAGTAGTTATTACCATTTTCCGCAGTACAAACAGATTTACTCTAGTGGCTACAAGAGTGCCATTTCTCGTCACGAAAGCGCTGCCACCCCCAAAAGCGCTACTGCAAGGACGGTCGATAGTCCAGCAGTGTTTACCATGGCTCCGCTGCCCGTTTCCTGTGCAGCGGAGCTTCCAGTGGCGCTTGATCCTGATTCAGTTGAGCTGGGGAGAGTATTCGTAGTACTTCCTGTTGCGCGACTACTACCGTCGGCGCTGGTACTGCGGTCGGTTGGGCCTGTTGCACTGCTAGCCGTTGAGACGGTTGACCCGGCAGCAGATGTTGTCGTTGCCGTACTGGTCGAGTTCGCACCTCCAGAAAGATTCGGGAGGTCCAACTCTACTCCATACGCCATACAAATAGCTTTGGAACCGTCTGCAGTAACTGCGGATAGGTGTCAGTGCATTGTTATTGGATATCACATACAAGCCCAAGCCAGCCCACAGTCCAAGTTTTGAACAACCAAGTACTGTGACTTGGAAGGATCTCACTATTGCCTGAGTCAAGTACTAGAAGAGAGAACTTACGAGTAATGTCTTCAGAACTGCAAAGCTGAGGGATTTGTGCGACCAGCTTATCCACGAATTCTGTGTTCTTGCATATACAGGCGATGTCAGTTAATGGACAGCCCGAGGTCTGGATCGCTTCTAGAATAGCTTGTTGCTTAAAGGAAGAGGCATTTGTTAGCTTTCAAAATCCGACAAAAACACGAGTGTTGTAACTATGGTGGACTCACGCCGCATTGTGGAAGATCCGAGATCGTCCCAACTTGAGCAAATGTAGGAGGAGCGAAAGCCACAACGGCTGTGATCCAAAACTTAGTTGTTCGCATGTTTCTGACTCTTGTGCGACGATAGATTTGTCTGTACGCGATCAAGGTATCCAAAATTGTTGAAAGTGAAAGGGACAAGGAATATACTGAAAGTGGCGGATCGAGCCTTTGATTCCAACCTTTGCTCTGCTCCTATGATAAAGTAGGAAAGAAGAGTGGTTCTCGCTAAGTATGCTGCGACTTGAATGCCACTCTGTCAACTCAACGTGGAAAGTAAGGGAATACCGATACTTGCGATGGTGAAGAGGATGCTAGTTGCTTGGCCCGATATCGCGGAAGTATTTCAGGAAATAGTTGCCCAGCCCACCCAGTTAGTTCGTTCCACTCTCGGCGCGGGCACTTGCATACCACTAGGGCTGTATGGTTAACACGAGGTCTTCGTTCTGTCAACCGACCTCTTCCGTATGCTATTACATACATATCTATCGCAAGCTCTTCGGCCGAGTCTACTGTAAAAGTAATGATCCACTCTTTTTCCAGCGCAGACTGGCCCTGTAAATGTCCCGCTGACTTAACCATGCTGGATATGTACTCAAAACAAAAATTATGTAAGTTAACCTTGCCGAGGGCGAGGTAAAATGTCTCGTTCACACTGAGGCAAACTGTTGCGAACTCACATTCTCTTCTAGAAAGCATGAGACTCGATTCTCGTGTCAGAACTCCAGAATACATCTCGATATCTTGCCAGGTACTGCTATTCCCACCGGCATACGCTTGATCAAACGAAACAGCGCACCGAACTAGCTTCTCCACTAGAACAACCATACTTCACATTCAATTATCAGATCTGTGCTGGATAAGCTGTCCAGAATGGGGGTTGTGGTGGTGCCCGCGCTCATCCCTGATGTTGAGAAGGTCTATGACTGCTATTTTGATGCCTTCAAACAAGAGCCTATGGCAGCTATTATGCTAGACATACTCTTTCCAGGGGGTGTCACGGAAGAGTTTCGCAAAGAGCATACCAAAGCCACCTTAGATTGGTGGCACAAGAGTACCACACAGTACACCTGGAAGGTCTTGGATACTGAGAAAAACGAGATCATAGGTATGATTCTGGCCGACGGGTTTGTCAGTGAACGAACCGAAGACGAGCGCAAGTATACTGGGTTGCCATGGCTAGAAGGCCGGGAACGAGAACGTGCTGAGGCAGTTGTTCGACCTTTGTGGGAAATGAGAGAAAAACTCTGGGGTGGTCGCCCGTATGTGTGTAAGTCCCCATACGAATTGTCGTCGAGGACAAATTCGATACGTGGATACACACCATAGAGGTTCTCGCGGCATCAGCTAACTATCTCGATTCCAGATGTCCACGCAATTGCAATCAAACCTGAGCACCAAGGCCTTAAAGCTGGCATGGCCTTGATTCTGTGGGGTGTGGACCTGGCCGACCGCGCCGATTTGCCTGTGTACATTGAAGCGTCGCCATCAACATGGACATTGTACGAAAGAGTAGGCTTCGAGCGCATCAACGAAAAGCTAGTGCACAAGAAGGAGATTCTGGGCACGGATGAAGATGTTGAGGTGCCGCTCATGGTGAGGATGCCTGCAGCGGCCAACGGAATGACTTTTGATGAATGGCGAGCAAACGGATACCCGCCATTTGAAGAGTGAAAAGCGACAAAGCATAGAGTAATTGGTGAATCTGGTGCAAAGGTCTATAGTCTTTATTGCATGCGTTCAGGCAGTAACACTTTGACCTCGTCAGTTGCCAGGAAATCCTTCAAGATCGTCACGATGGTCTCCGTGGCAGTAACCCATTTTTCCATCGCCTGAACTGCCAGTTCCGGGTCGGTTCCCTTTCCACTTAACCGAATATACAGATCTTTGCGTCGAGGCGCTGCGCTCATTGCTGCTCGAAAAATGGGTCTGATTACGACTGTATGATACGGGGATAGCGTGACCTTGTAGCTGTCTCGGAAAGACTCTCTCAAGTCCATTTTTGGCATCTTCTCTGTTGCTGAGATATCTTTGTTCTGTGTGAGATCAGTCTTCAGCGCATGTGCTAGGAAGTCAAGACCTCGGACCAGCCACGTCAACCCTGCAGTTGCAGAATGAGCTTGAGTTGCGAGTTCGTTCTTGACCAGATCTTGTAGCGTCCTTGAGCCTTCTGCATCTTGGGCTTGCCGTGAGCGCACCCGCCCTACGTTGAAAAGCATGTCATTCTTAATAGGCGTGAATACTGCTGAGCCAAGCAGGTCTAATATCGTGGCTGTCGCTTCAGTGGCTGCAAGAAATTCTTTTATCGGCACATATCGATTAGCGGAGACTGGTACATCTGAAAAGCTGGTTTCGTGAATATCAAACCAAGTCTCGCCTGCAGGTATGACAATCCGTGGGGCCATGCTATGCGACTTTGGGGTCGTTGTGAGTCTGGCTGTGACCACGTGGTCTGAAAAGCGGAGGGCTCAGTCAGTGCCAGATCCTTCCATCAGTTGAGATTATCGACACCTTCGACGAGAAGGAAAGTGGTCAGAGGCCGGTGTTGAATCGACATGTTCAAAACAGCGAGATCAAGATGGCCTTCTCTTCAACGCCTCACATCTTCAGAAATGGTTTTCGGATCTCTTCCCGAGATCTACGAAAGCTCACCTGCCAAAGCTCCAAGATCGACGTCAGTTGGTTTCTCAAACTCCTGAATTTCCCAAGCCGATATCGCTCTCCAAGGTCGAGCGATTGCCCAGACGCCGAAGTCGCGTCATTGGCCTTAAGGAAACGGATAGGCACATGTTCTCAGACCAAAGCTCCCACTGCAGAGTGGGTGTGTGCAGTGAATAATTTTAAGCGAAGCTCAATGTCTGCCAGGAAAGGATTACCAACAAAGGCTAATTCAACCTGCGGATGTCCGAGCAATGCCAAGGCAATCAGGAGAGAATCTGATTAGATTAGATAAATCCCTCACTCCGCCCAGTCGTGCTTGGCGTCAGCCACAGCGGAACCTTGGAGGGGACTGAGTCGTGGACTGGCTGCCAAGACCACGCGGGCGTCACTGACGCTTACCACGCGTACTGTAACAGCTCGTAAGATCGAAGCGGTATTACATGTTACGTGAAGAAGCGTGCCTAGTCACTGCAAATCCGAATGGTCCTACTAACCTCTTTCAATGGCCTACCTACCCAGCGTATCCCTGGATGGTTGAGCGTCGTGAAGACTGGCAGACATTACTACTTAGTTGAAGCTCATTGATAGGATTGATCGGGTACGTCGGCTTATCCCAGTGCTCATCGTCTTGCTGAGTACTTCAGAACCCTGGAACCGCCTAGAAATATTTTCTGTCTCCGCAATAAGTCCAACCTCCGTAGTCTAAACTTATCAAGACTATCGACATGTCTTTCCATTTCGGTCTTTTCGGTATTGAAGATGAACAGTCCGGAAGGTTTGAGGTTCTTGCTCTGCATTTGCTGGTGTAAAGACAATGAGAAAGCCCTATGGTATAGATCTAAATCACACGTCCCTTGACCTGTTTTATATCTTTGATGCGAATATCCCGCCACAATGCTACACATACGAACGCACCACCCAGTAGTGCAAGACTTGTGATGAGCATGTAGCGTTGTGCTTCCCCGTACGATCGGTTGATAGCGTCTCGAGCTGGTGTTCCAGGCCTGTAGTAAAGCTGAGCAATGATTGATCCGTAAACCTTCTTTGCATCAACATCTGCAGGAAGGTACCTTCGGAGGGCCGCAGGAAAGACGCTTGTCCAAATGGCTGTGGCGACAGTCCCTCCCACTGCACTGCCGATACTGCCAAACAAATTCAAAATGGCAATGATAGCGGCGATGTGTTGTTGATTTGATGGAGCCAACATAGCCAACTCGCCGCACAGAACAATCGTTCCACCCGAAAATGCCACAAAGATCTGGGTCATAACAATGTACCCAATATCACTGTTTGGGCGCCGGAACTCGATCATAAGACCAACGCCCAACATCATCAATGGGATTGCAAAGTACAATGCAAGCCATTTGAATCGACCAGTCCATCGGATCAAAAGCCCAACCACCAATGCCCAGAGACAAGAACCGACCCGGTATATGGCGCTGACGTAGGTCGCGTTAGTGATGCTGAGACCCCATACAACCTGCAACATAGAGAAAAAGTAGCTGCCCCAAACCATTGAGTTGAAGAAGACAAAAACGAACATCAATCCTGCGCAGAAGACGGTTCGATCCATCAGAAGCTCGAAAGGAATGAATGTTTTTTGCGCCAAGTACCTCTCCCAAAAAGTGAAGAAGACGAGCAATGCGCCGCCGAAGGTGATCATACAAATGATCATCGGAGAGCGGAACTTGTCTTTTTGATAAGAGTAAAGGCTGAAGGGAAGCAGGAAAAGCGCCATTCCACTTGCAAGGATAATAATACCAAGCAAGTCGACCTCAATCGCGTACCGCTTCAGCGCTTCCGGACGGAGACTGATACGTACAGGCTTGACGAGGCCTTGATTTTGAGCCTTTCGCTGGTTGTACAGAAATAAGATTGTCAAAGGGGCCACGACCACAGGGACTACAACAGCAAAGATACCAAATCCCCATCGCCAGCCGGGACCTTCGATGATACTTTGAGAAACCGGGCCTCCTAGCCAAGTAGTGACGATGTACGGCGAGGTCGCGATAGAAAGCATCAGCGAACGATTCTTGAGTGTCGATGTATCCGAAATGAAGACTGTGAGGCAGTAGCTTACACCTTGTGCGCTGAGAATGCTCATGTCAGGGAAAGAAAGTCTATTTGAGGGCTTCACGCTTACCCAGTCACAGAGAACACCTGAGCAGCGGCATATGTTTGCACATTTTTGCAAGAGGCCATCATGATATACCCGATTACCCAAATAAAGGTCATCAGTCCAATACCCTGAGGTCTTCCCCATGTATCCAGAATCTTGGCAGTCGGAATCTTAGCTACTCCGCCAATGATGCTGGACATGATATTGGTGGCGGATGTCAGAGAATGCAACGAGAAAGAACTCGTGACATAAGGATTTAAAGAACGAAGAACAACCTCTTCCAGTGAAACGACAAAGTAGATGAGCCAAATGCTGTTCATGCCTTAGTACTTACATCTCATTATCATGTATGGGATAAGCACTTACCAGATGTGTGCACCGATGAGGTGTGACCTTGTCCAGACCGTAGCTGTTGCCTGGACACGCTGTACACCAGCTTGGGCATCTTGAGAAACAAGTGCTTCATCGGGTTGATTTGTGCTTTCTTCATCGACGGGGTTTCTGCGATCGCTTGTGTTGACAATTTTGGAAGTCGTATCGAAGAAACTCTCGAATCTTGCTTTGAATCCTAGCTTATCAGGGCGTTTGTCGGTCAAGGACACCATGTTGGCAAAGGTGAACTAGCTGCAGACGAGTTGGCAGATACAGTTCCCGCACGATGTGCAATCGTCTTCAGCCACGACTAGACTCACACACTCAGCAAGCATCTAAATGCCCATACCATGTGTTAGAATTTGTCTTCGTGCCAAGTCTATCGGAATGTTTCCCACTAGCCGACGTCGGCTGCGAACAATTTTGTCAAGCTGGGGAAGAAAAAAAATTTGCCATCTGATGACCAGTTCGCTATCGAGGCTGAGGAGATGCCACGCGACAAAAATACTTACGGTATTGCGCCTTTGAAAATGCAACGCCTGGGAGGACTACCCGAAATGGCATAGTGGTGGTACGCTCTGTAATGCACACGATCAGTGGGCGTTGTTCTACGGAGGCAGGAATGTATGGAGGGTATTGAACCTTAACAAGCCCTCGTACCACAGATGCACGATGATACCGCTAAAAGTGGCCAAGTGCCGATGTCGGGTCCATCGACTGTATGACAACACCAATGTCTGAGGCAGCATTGAGCTTCCTAAAGATGTCTTGGAGTCCGCGAGAGGCCTTTGGTGGTAGCAGTCAAGACGCGTTCGGGTAGACAAGAACAATAGCACTTGCCGTGAAAACTGGAAACGACTGGTTGAGTGGGTAATTTTACTAGCGGTAATGTATGCGGGGATGTGTCAACTCTGCATCCTGCGCCGCCACCCTTGGCACGATGTTTGTCTTGGGAACCACATCGGAGAGGTTCCGTTAGATGAACTTGGCAGCATACCTACAGCGGAACGAGGACGTTATCTTGTTTGATGTAGGGTACGAACAATAGTCATAACTCTCGCATAACCAAAAGGCTCGCTCCTTGGCCGAGACCGGCTTCAATCACGTACCCACTGGGAACGGCGTTCTGCCATTGATGACAATAGTAGTCGAATGGTTATGATTCTGAGGAAAGCCCTAAGATTTGTCAGGCCCAACTCTGTTCGCCTTCCAGTGACGTTTCCAAGGCAGGAGATGTTGTAGGATGACAGTGGTCTAAATCTCAAGGCATCTGCGGCGTATCAAGGAGTCTGCTCGGCCGATTGCTTGGGCTGAGAGCCAGCCTCTGGGTATTCAGTGGTTGTCGAAGACAAGGCTGAGCACTATAAACTTTTTTCTAACCAAGTGAGCGACCTACAGACACATGGCAGCAAAAGCTGTTGATCGAGAGCGTCCTAAGCCCAAGGATACACGTCCAGGGAAGGAGACAGCATCATCAGGATCGGTACGCATCGCCTCCCTCAGAGAGATCCGTTGCTTCACTACTTTCAAGCATGAATGAAGTTTGTTCTAACCAGCGCCAGTCTCGTATTGCCTACTTCCGACTGTTGGCTTACGCCGCTGCAACATGGACGGACATTTGTCTGATGGCGGTCGGGACCACGTGTGCCATCGCTGCTGGCGTACCATATCCCTTGATGGCAGTTTTATTTGGAGAGCTCGTCAACGATCTCAACGGTGCTTCTTGTGAGGTAGAAATCTCTGGCAATGCCTTGGTTTATGAAGATGCCATCAACGATAGAGTGTTGAAACTTGTTTACATTGCCATCGCAGCGTTTGCCCTGACTTTCACTCACATCATCTGCTGGAGCATTTTGAGCCAACGCCTTGCATTTCGACTGAGAGATGAATACTTCCAAAGTATACTGCGCCAGGATCAAACGTTTATTGACCAGCATCAAGATGGTCAGCTATCTTCGCGTCTGAGCGGTGACGTCCAAGCTGTTCAATCCGGAACTTGCGAAAAGGTTGGAATTTTCATTGCAAGTCTTTCCTTTTTCGTCTCTGCATATGTAGTGGCGTTCACCAAACAAGCGAAGCTTGCTGGGATTTTGATATCGCTTATACCGGCATTTCTCCTTGTCGCAATTGTCGGAGGTGGTTTCTTTCAAAAGTTCTCAACTCGTATGTCTGACTCTGCCACCAAAGCAGCTGCCATAGCCTCCGAGGCATTCTCCAACATCACTATTGTGAAAGCGTACAGTGCTGCTCCACGGTTAGAGCGAAAGTTTGCAGAGTGCTCTGAAGTCAGTCGTGGGCAAGGCATTCGTAAAGGTGCTGTGGCAGCCGTCCAGGCCGGGATGCTTTACTTTATTGCCTATTCGGCAAATGCTCTCGCTTTTTGGCAGGGCAGCAGAATGATTGCAGACATGCTAAAGGGAAAGAGTGGTGGAACATCCGTTGGGGAAATCTACACGGTGATTTTTGTTCTTGTCGATGGTAAGTTGATTTTCAATGTCAATATACACTGATCTGCGGTTAACATATTCTTGAATGCAGCCTGTGTGGTTTTGGGATCGACAGCTCCTCTCCTGCCACTCTTCGGAAATGCGGCCTCGGCTTTCCATAAATTGAAACAAGATATTGATAGCAAGTCGTTGCTAGATGGCACATTGGATGATGGCGACATGTTGTCTGCTGAAACTCCAGGAAAGCTTGAGTTTTGTAATGTTTCCTTTAGGTACCCTTCACGACCAGACGACATGGTGCTGCGAAATGTTAGTGTTTCGTTTCCTGCAGGAAAACAAACAGCCATCGTCGGGCCCTCTGGAAGTGGCAAGTCCACAGTTGCAGCTCTGATTGCCAGACTATATGACACTACTGAGGGAAGAATTCTCTTCGATGACAAGAGTCTGTCTGACATCAACATCAGAAATCTGAGAGGATTTACTGCTCTTGTCCAACAAGAACCGTTGTTGATGAATCGGTCGATCCTGCAGAATATAGCCCTTGGCCTGATAAGCTCATCCAATCCAGCACATAAAAGGCTGAAGCATTACCTGGGAGAATCTTTGACATGCAATTCGGGAAATCTTCCAGAAAGAGACCAGGTTATTGTCAACGAGGTTATTGACCTGGTGAAACATGCAGCTCGACTTGCGGACGCCGACGGCTTCATTCGGACTCTTGACAAGAGTTATGATACTATAATTGGAACCGGCGGCCAATCCCTCAGTGGTGGGCAAAGACAGAGAATTGCTCTCGCGCAAGCCCTTGTTCGAGATCCAAAAGTACTCATTCTGGATGAAGCAACGGCTTCTCTTGATTCGGCGAGCGAACAACGCATTCAAACTGCTGTCAACAAGCTTGCAAATACACGAACAGTCATCTCCATTGCTCATCGCTTTTCCACCATCAGAAATGCAGACAATATCATTATACTCAAGGCTGGAGAAGTAATTGAACAGGGAACGTACGAAGAGCTTGTTTCTCACCCAGGACTATTTGCTGATATGGTCAAATTGCAAGCCCTCAACATTTCTCAGCAAAATCATGAGGATTTTTCATCGACTATTAGCTCCTTGCATACCTCGATAGATATCGATGCAGAGAAAGTGGCTTTGAAGTATGATGATGCTACCTCGAGAGCTCAACCAAAGCTATATGAAGATTCAGGGGGCAACAAAGATCCCCAAGCATCGCCAATTGAGATTGACTCTGGCCTTTCTCCCTGTAAGATCATCAGAAGGGCAACGCCTTTTATCAGGCCGGAATTAGGTTGGCTTGTCATGGCAATGATTTCTGCCGTAGTTGTGGGCTTAACATTCATTGCCGCAGCCTTGATCTTTGGGCATGTGGTGGATGCACTGAGCCCATGCAGGGCTACGGTGAGCCGTATACTGCACCTTGGCCGGTTTTATGGGGGCATGCTCTTCATGGTTGCTGGTGTGGAACTAGGCGCGAACTACTTCAGCTGGTCATCTTTTGCAGTAGTCGGGGAGAGGCTGTTGTACAGGCTGAGAGTGTTGTCGTTCAATTCTCTGTTATCCCAAAACATTGAGTGGTATCAGGCCCAGGCTCATAATCCCTCAACATTACTATCCATCATCACAAAGGACGGCAACGCGATAGCCGGATTCAGTGGCTCGACAATGGGTACCATATTCTCAATACTCATCAGTTTCTGCGCCTCACTGATCATGTCACATATTGTTGCATGGAAGATTGCACTTGTATGTTTGACTATGGTGCCTATTTTATTGGGATCAGGTTTGATGCAGCTCTTCACTCTATCGCGATTTGAAGAACGCAACTCGAAAGCATTTGCAAAATCGATCGGCATCTGCATGGAGGCATTGACGTCTTTCAAGATTGTTGCTACATACTCTCTTGAGGATGAAATCATGGGCGCTTACAGGCAGGCTTTGAGGAGTCCACGCAAGAAATTGACAACGGCAAGCATTTATACAAATGTCTGGCTTGCTATCTCCCTCAGTGTCGGCTTCTTCATTTATGCCTTTGCATACTGGTGGGGCTCGCACCAAATCATTCGGGGAGAAAGTTCCCAGAAACAATTCTTCATTGTGCTTGTGGCGATGCTGGTGAGTGCACAATTATGGGGCCAGATGTTCAGTCTTGCGCCTGAGGTCTCTCGAGCTCGTGCAGCTGCTTCTCGAATACTGTCTATCATTGGGAATCAAAATTCATACGGTGATTCACCAGCGCTGGAGCCGCCGTCAACCTCCACTGGTCATGATGTTGAAAAGTCCGCTTCTACTGACACATCCTCACGATTGAAAGCAAAACGTGGTGCTCGCGTTGATTTTTCTGGCGTCAGTTTCGCCTACCCATCCAACATCACCATTCCTGTCCTTAAGGATGTCGCATTTTCTATCCTGCCAGGCCAATTTTGCGGCCTAGTAGGACCCTCTGGTGCAGGAAAATCCACCATCATGAACCTGCTCCAGCAAAATTACTGCCCAACATGGGGTCGAATTAAGATTGATGGCACTGATATATCCGACCGAGATTTTCGGGATGACATTGCCGTCGTGCCGCAGGATAGCATGCTCTTCAGTGGCTCGATTCGCTTTAATGTCGGGCTCGGTGCGGTATCGGGCCATGACGCGACCGATACAGAAATTGAACAGGCTTGCAGACTGGCCAATATTCACGATACAATCATGATCTTGCCTCAGGGTTACGACACTGAGTGTGGACCGAAAGGCACTCAACTGTCAGGTGGTCAACGCCAGCGACTCACAATAGCGCGTGCTTTGGTGCGCAAGCCACGACTGTTGCTCCTTGATGAGAGTACAAGTGCCTTAGACGCCGAGACGGAGCACATCCTGCAGCAAGGACTCAGTCGTGCCGTTCGTGACTTCGGTACTACTGTCATTGCTATAACACATCGTTTGCATACTGTCATGAGCGCTGATGTCATTTTCATGGTGGAAGGCGGAACGATTGTGGACTCTGGTAGTCATGGCGATCTGATGGAAAAGAATGAACATTATAGATTAACTGTTCAGCAACAGATGCTGCAATAGGGAGAACTGAGAATCAATCCGTGTCAATAACAAATGAACCGAACATATCCTCGGCATGTGGCAGCCCCAATTAGTATACACTTGAAAGGACGTGGTCATGAAAGAAGTAAACGACTTGTTATTAGATACAATGCTATTAAATTGTGTACACTGTCGCTTGAGGCTTTTTGGGCACTCTAGTGAAGATGTAAAGACAATAGCAGTATTATTGGTAGATTAAATTGCAGCTGCTAGACCTAGCGCCACTGCACCGAGAAAGACGGGCATCAAGACTATCCTGACCTTGCTTCCGGCACCTGTATATTGAGCTGGCTCACTGCTGGATGTGCCGCTGATCGCAGGGGTCTCCGCTGTTGTTGGCCCATTTACGCTACTGGGAGTGGCAGAGGAGCTCGCAATTGTTGGTTCAACCGGTGCAGTAGTGACTGGCACCACTTCACTGGTGGTGGCCGAGGCGCTGGAAGTTGCACCACCAGGCGTGCCCGGTAGGTCGAGAGTGACTCCATACGAAGCACAAAGGGAAACTGCAAACTGGCTGGTGGCTGTGTCGAAGCATCAGCATCATGGTCCTCCACCAGGCGGTGTTGCCTCCCGGTGACAAGAAATCATCTGAAGCCTCCAGATGATTCCATCGATGATCAGGACATACCTGCAACTTCATTTGCATTGCACACGCTAGGGATCGTGTTTACCAAACCATTGATGAATTCAGTATTGTTGCAAACACATGCAATGTCTGTCAAAGAGCATCCCGAAGTGCTGAATGCCGTTAAGATTGGAGATTGCTAGTTACACATGAATCAGTATTCGAGCAGTTTATCGTTCCAAAGCAGAAAGGCTTATGCATTTTGTTTGGAAGAATGTTCACTCACCGCGCACACGGGCAGACTTGTAATATCCTGGGCATGGGCTTTAAGAGCCAGAGCAAAAGCAACTGCACCAATAGCAACTGTCTTCATCTCGGTAATCTCGAAGGGGGTCGCTTGAAGCTATTATGAAGGAGTGATTAAACGAATGTCTGGCTTGTCAAGTGAACCAAAACTGCGCATTGAATAACAACCTGATTGCTTATAGTCAGGAACCATTCAACTGTTATGATATATATACTCAAGTATCTATCCCGAAACCGGATGGTTTCCAAGGCTGGTTTCACCTCCTAAGCCCTTGCCAAGGTAACAAAACTTGACAAGAGGCAACGAAGAAGCAACCAGATATCCAGTCTCTCCGTCGAGGCATTCAAATGCGATCGGCCCGCAAATCGTAGGCTCATATGACATAGTTCTCTCATGCTTTTAGATAATCAGCACTTCATCCTCCCAATGAGCATCCTATGTTACTGTGATGGAGCAGCTTGCCACAGGGCCGAGAACATACACGCTTGTCGAGTTGGAACAAGGCAGTTTTGAGATTTGACGACGATCTCCTTGGAGGCTTCAGTACTCCAACATGCAGTCACAAAGGCTTCGTTAACATCCAGCGTCTATCTGCCTACTCCAACTAAAGCCGTTAAGCAGATCCATGTTGACTGGAGACGGGTTGCAGAAGTCGATAATAGACGCTAACCTTTGCCAGATCCTCACTCGTCGGAATGAGCCCAAACTGACAACCCGTGGTTTTCTCCTGCGCCTGCAAGGCAGTCGACAACATACAGAAATGCTCTCCGGTGACATGGCCGTGATCGGAGTACAGGATAAGTCTTTTTAGCGACTGGCCGCCAGTGGGTCGGCGTCAGGTGTCCCAACCGTCTGCCCCTAACTTGCCGAGCCTCGCCAAGTCGAGTTTACCAGGCTCGTAAGCGAAGGATCCATCTTATCTTATCAGATTTTTCCCCGCTAAGGCATGAAATCCTTGGCCACGACTTTAGCAAGGCTCGGCAGAACGATCCACTTGAACCGAGGTGTATTTCACGCGCGGACTGTCAAATGAACTTCACAACCGTATCCTAAAATGACTGGAGTATCTCCTCTTCGTTCATCCCCCAAACATGATTCAACCTCGCTTAGAATCGCTGTGACAAAATCAAACTATTTCTAAGTCAACAAATTATTTCCGGCAGTTTGCCGGCGAGGATGCTGGACCGCGGTGGTGGTCCGCAACCTGTCTCGAGCTCTTTGCCAACCAGACTTTCGCCTTGACGACTTGAACTATTTGATGGTGCTATCAGACAGTCCTTGGCTAGCGGGACAAGTGGCACGCACCTCCGGTCAAGCAATGGATTTTGGGATTCGGCAGAGACAAGTTCGTTACATGAGTCACATTTCAGGTCGTGGTTCTTGATCTGGAGAAAACCGGTTGTTCTGAGCGTAGGTAAAGACATTCTCGGTACACATGAAAGTCACTTTCATCGTATATCTGTGACTCTAAGATCTCATCACACCTCAGCTATACATCATTAAACAGGATGTCAGCGACAAAATTGGAAACTCTGACTCTCGTCAGGCTGCCTGAACCTTGGAAAACAACATACGAGATCCGCATTTCGAAGCACGTGAAACCTGTACCCTTACTCAACCTCACCCTCTCCCATAAACAATTGCCTGATTCCAGATCACCACCAGAGCCACTTCATCTCGAGTCACTGAGATTCAGCGATCTGATTTCGGAGTCGAATGTGTTAACTCCTCAGCCTGGTGACAACTCTTCCTGGGCACGTTTCCACCAGTCTCCCCTTTCTCGCCTCTCATGGGATGAAGCAGTTGTGCCCAGTGTTGGCCAGATATGGAATCTGATCTACTCTATCGTGACACTATATCCGGAGCTGGAGGACTTCCGCCTTGAGCTCACAGGCAACAGTCATGCGACATTGACTGAAGTACTGATAGCAACTGGTCTGGCCAGCCCACCACCAAAAGCTACACGATCTGAACAACCAACCTTGCCAACGTCAAAGGTCTCTCAGATCTGGATATCGCGGTCGGCATTCTGGCAAGGGGCTGCATCGCCGTTCGGCACTCGTCCAGCGTGGGTCGCACATCCAGATTTGTTTGGGCATCTTTCCACGGCGTTGACATTGAGTCCGGCTTTTCCTTGTCAGTATACCGTGACATTCTCTCTTGAAGGGCGGCCTGTTCATGCACAGCACCCCATACGGCCACCCAAGCCAGCACACAATGCCGTGATTTACAGTCGCTACATTCCCCATCTCGACGAGTTCTTCTCGATGGTCCACCTTGACTGGAGAAATGAAGAGCACCTGCGACTGTTCCACGAGTGGCAGAACGATCCTCGCGTATCAGCAGGTTGGAATGAGACCGGATCACTAGAGCAGCATCGCGAGTATCTGCGCAAGATCGATGAGGACCCGCACCAAATGGCGATCTTGGCCAAGTTCGACGACACCTATTTTGCCTACTTTGAGATCTACTGGGCCAAGGTTTGTGAATATAAAGCCCTGCTGTCCCGTGCCTACATAACTAACCATGCCATCGTTTGCTAGGAGGACCATATGGGTGTCTATCTATCTCCAGGAGCCGGTGACTGGGATCGAGGTCGACATTCCCTTGTCGGTGATGTCCGATTCCGAGGGCCACAGAGAGCTTCTGCTTGGTGGTCCAGCCTGATCCATTACTTGTTCCTTGACGATCCGAGAACAGTGACTATTGTTGGAGAGCCTAAGTATACTAATGCTAACGTCCTCGCATACGATATGGACAACGGCTTTCACATTCACAAATTAGCCGACCTACCACATAAACGCTCAGCAATTGTGAGATGCGAACGTATTCGGTTTTTCCAGGTTGTAGGATTCGGGCTACCAGCATCAGCGGCCAAGAGCAAGGATCGAAAATCCAAAGACACTCTTGCAGTAGATCAGCTCCCAAGATCGATACAGACTATGGCACTGTCCGCAAAACTTTAGATAAGTCTGCACACATCCTGGCGAGATTCTCTCTGTGTACAACTATTACCAAGTATCGTTGTGGGCGTAGGGCATCTTGGGTCCGAGTGCAGACACTTGCGGGAGACTCCTTCAGCTGCTCATGAGCAGCATCCATGTATGTACAAGTAATGATTTCATTCGCGTTCTTGCTGTATTTTGGGATGGGCATAGCAGACTCGAGTAGTGCAGGATTTGACCGATAGGCCATGGCCAGAGTGACATACCATGTGGCCCTCGTAGTCCACGTACACTATTCCCTACAAGGGTGCCACATGCGTCAATGTCTGAGGCGGGTCCTGCATGGCTCGTGTACCCTAGTCTCGACCCACCGGACATAATTGTCGGCACGTCGTCCGTAGCTCCAAGACAAGTAGAGACTTTTACAGTAACATTGTAACAGTAGTGTTATTACTGTTTCATAAGGGCTGATGCTCCCGGCTCTACGCGATGCACCATAAATCTCCCCACTCTTACTTGTGTTGTATCATCGAAGTTAATTTTCTGCATTTGTTGTGGAATAATTCACCCACCGTGCATCGGAGCCTCATCACCGGTAAGCTAGAGGCACACAGGTACTGCCACATTTTCGTGCCCTATCCCGAAACCCGACAAGTGACTATGTAGGACGGCAGCAAACAGAGGCATCAGGTTTACAGTGGTCTGTTGGATGTAGAGTGGCAATGTACAATCCTTTGCCGAAGAGCTACCAAAATTACCAGAGATGATAAACAAAATCGAGCCGGGCAGTGAGTGGTGTCAATCTAGCACACCATCCTCGGCCCAAATTCAAGAGGAGAACGAGATGGACGCTGTCACTCATGGTTTTGAGAAAGAGGTGAACGGCGACGTGGCGCCCTTGAACATACGAATTCCAACGGAAATGATACCTTGCAACGAGGATCCGAAATATCTGGAAGCCCTTCTGCTACTTACCTGGTGCCTACTTCTGCACAGGGGCAGTGTCGATAAACAGAACGAGGATTGTGCAGTTTTCTGGGGATCCTTTCCAGCCTCATTGTCATCAGAATCGCGACCACAGTATGAGAAGGCAGTGAAGCTACACGAGATAATCCTAAACGACAAACACAGTGTGGCATCCCTCCTAAAACACATCAAAGTCCTTATCACGGGTTCACAATCAGACTCTAGCTCACGGCGTGAAGATTATGTCATGTCCTTTTCGACCCGAGAATCTTCAACCTCAGGAGCTTTTGGGTTGAATATCAGACAGGAATCCAACTTTTTGTACATTAGTGAGCCTCAATGGGCAACACTTCTTTCCTCGTCAATGGCACAGTTCCAGATACGGGCGTATGCAGATATTCTACAGTCTGTTCTAAATAATCGACAGCTACTGATTTCAGATGTCACTGATACTCTTGGTGAAAGAGAGTTGACGAGCCTTTGGCAATGGAACGCCGTCGTGCCACCAGCCATCAGTCAGTGCATGCACGACATAATCGGAGACAAAATGGCAGAACACCCAGAAAAGACGGCGGTTACATCTTGGGACGGCGAACTGACCTATGGTCAACTGGACAGCATATCGTCGCATCTCGCAGAGCGACTGATCCAGTCTGGGGTGTGCCTAGGCACAGTTGTTCCTTTGTGCTTTGAAAAGTGCATGTGGACAGTCGTAGCTCTGCTAGCCATCATGAGGGCTGGAGGTACATTTGTTCTCACCGACCCGCAACAGCCTGAAAGCCGTCTTTGTACGATAGTGTCTGAAGTTGATGCTCAGATCCTACTGACGTCTGAAAAACAAGCCACTTTGGGCGGTCGGATTGCACAACATGCTAAAATTATTATTGTTGGCCCCGAATTGCTCCAGACAGATGACCAAAGATGTTCTATATCTTTGGGAAAGGTTCCCGCATCAACTATGCTTTATATCATCTTCACATCTGGTAGCACGGGGAAGCCAAAGGGCGTTATGATATCCCACGAGAATTTCACCACAGGTGCAATTCCAAGAGCAGCAGCAGTCGGGTATAAACCTCACTCGAGGGTGCTTGACTTCCCATCGTACGCATTCGATGTGAGTATTGATTGCATGTTATGTACATTGGCAAACGGTGGCTGTATATGCGTTCCGTCAGATGAACAACGAGTCAACGATCTCAGTGGTGCTATCCAATCCATGGATGTTAATATGGCCCATATGACACCTTCCGTTGCCAGGGTATTGTCCGTTGACGACCTGACGCGGCTGGAGGTCCTTGGATTAGGCGGCGAGTCGCTCTCTTCTGCTGATGCCGCCATCTGGAGCAAGGTCACTAAGATGATTATTGCCTATGGCCCGTCGGAATGTACAGTAGGATGTACCATCAACAACGAAATCGAGGTGGCCTTGCCATATACGAGCATCGGAAGAGGCGTCGGAGGCATCACCTGGATCGTGGATCCTGACAACCATGATCTTCTAACCCCGATCGGTGCAGTCGGAGAACTGCTCATCGAGGGATCGATCGTTGGCTTGGGGTACTTGAAGGATCCCGACAGGACTCGACAGGTTTTCATTAAGGATCCGAAATGGTTGCTCTCTGGCTCTGGAAGCTTCCCTGGCAGGCATGGACGCTTGTACAAGACAGGTGATCTCGTCAAATATGATCCTTCCGGATCAGGGAATTTGGTATTTGTTGGCAGAAAAGATCGGCAGGTCAAGGTTCGAGGGCAGCGAGTTGAGTTGTCAGAAGTTGAATATCATCTTGGGAAAGTTCTTCCACAGGACGTCAGTATCGCTGCTGAGGTGATCACCCCGGGAGGGAAGGATCGTGAGCCGGCTCTGGTGGCATTCGTCTCCGAGCCAAAACATAAACAAGTGACGAAAGGCGATGACCCAGGAGAAACAGTCGGCTTTTCTAACGAATTGCTTCGATCTCTTTCCAAAATTGACAAGTTTCTCGGTTCCGAGCTCCCTATCTACATGGTTCCCACGGCTTACATTCCGCTGCGCAATATGCCACTATTGGTATCTTGTAAGGTTGACCGAAAAAGACTGCAGGAAATTGGTTTGGCTTTGACACTGCAGGCATTGGTAGGTCTCCGAACAAAGGTGACACAGACTACTGAACCTAGAACCGAGGCCGAGCTGGTACTGCGAAACATCTGGAATGAGCTACTAGCCACCGAGACGGATGTTCGTATCAACGACAATTTCTTTGCACTAGGAGGCGATTCACTCAAGGCAATGAAGCTCGTTGCCGCGGCCCGGCTAAGTGGGCTGTCTCTGACTGTAGGTCAGATCTTTGCAAATCCTACCCTCGCACGTATGGCATCAACGGCTGAGCGAGTGAGCAAAGTCATCGAACAAGAGCTGCCACAGTTTTCTCTACTTCCGCCAGACTGGCCGCAGCAAGACGCGAAGGAAGAGGCGGCAAATCTGTGTAGGCTTAAAAGCCACGATATTGAAGACATCTACCCTTGCACACCTCTCCAGGAAGGTCTCATGGCTCTTTCCGCCAAGTTTGCAGACGCTTACATTGCTCAACGAGTCGTTCATCTGGCAGACCTGACGACCGCACAGCGCCTCAAAGCCGCGTTGGAAGCTACAACGCTGATATCCCCAATACTACGCACTAGGATCATTCAAGTACCTCGCCGGGGGCTGGTGCAAGTAGTCGTAAGAGATCAGTTGGGTTGGTCATCGAGCAGTAACCTCCAAGATTATCTCTTGCGGGATCGTGACTCACCAATGGAACTCGGAGACCCGCTGACTCGCTTTGGACTAATCACCGAGGGTGATAACGGAGTGCACGTCGTTTTTACTATCCACCACAGTTTGTATGATGGATGGATGATGCCGTTGATTATAAACCGGGTCACCAAGGCTTATCGGGGATTGGAGGCGCCGACGTCAACTCCTTTCAAGAACTTTATCAGATATCTTCTCGACAGAAACCACAACGAATCGGAAGACTTTTGGACAGAGCAATTGCGAGGAGCAACGGGACTACAGTTTCCTCTGATACCACATGTGAGCTACCAGGTCAAGGCAGACTCACTGCTCGAGCACCGAGTAGAGTTTCCGAGTCGTCCTGCTTCAAACACAACCATCGCGACAGTCATTCGTGCAGCATGGGGCCTAGTGGCAGCAAGATATACTTCATCAGAAGATGTGGTATTTGGGGAAACTCTAACTGGGCGAAACGCACCTGTTGCAGGCATCTGGGAGATAGAAGGGCCTCTCATCACCACGGTACCTATGAGGTTACGCCTGAATCAATCCATGCTGGTGTCTGAATACCTTCAAAGTGTTCATGAGCAGGCTATTCTGCGTATCCCTCACGAGCATATGGGTCTCCAGAATATCCGCCGATTGAATCCCGACACTCTTCAGGCCTGCGAACTGCGGACTGGTCTCGTTCTTCATCCGAGCACTGATGAGGAGCAAGAATCTTCTTGCGAGACTAATGATTGTCCTGCAAATGGCTTTGTTCCCGTCAGTGACCGAGAGGCAGCTCAAGAAGCCTTGAAGTTCAACTCTTATGCCCTGATGCTCGTATGTGCCCTGTACAAGAATGGCTTGCTCATCATGGCTAGTTTTGACGCAAACACCATCGATGAAAGGCTCATGCAAAAGATACTCGAAGAATTCGGACGTACCGTGCAGGAGCTCTGTGATGGTACGGCCCAAAGGATATCTGACCTTTTCATCATGAAAGATCCAAGCCCAAGAGAAGTACACCATTTATACCAAGGGAATTTCGACTCTCTACCTTCCGAATTGCAGCAGCTCATTCAGGCTTCTCCGGAAGACATCCGGAATGTCTGGATTGTGGACCCAGCAAATCGTCAGAAACTTCTGCCTGTGGGTGCCGTAGGGGAAGTTCTCCTCGAGACTGTCAAGGAGCAGCAATCCACTTTGATTGACAAGCCGCAGTGGCTGTTTGAAATGACCACAGATGAGAAGTCCGTGGCTACCTACCTCCACGAAACGGGACATTTGGGTAAGTACCAAAGTGATGGCCAACTCATCTTGCTGGGTCCAAAGGGGGCAAATCCTATCACGAACAGACCCAATAAGACTCCGAATGGTCTCCGAAAAGCCGATTCACAACCAGATAGGGGCCGAATAGTCCTGCTCTCACAGATCTGGAGCAGGATTCTAAACATGCGGGAAGAGACTATAGGCCACGAATCCGATTTTTTCGCACTAGGAGGTGACTCCATCGGAGCCATGAAGCTTGTATCAGAGGTAAGAATGGAAAACATGGAATTAACAGTGGCACAAGTATTTGAGTACAGGCATCTCAGAGACATGGCCCATGTTCTGAGAGAAGTGACCAAGAGCGACTCTTGTTCAACAAAACCAGCCCCATTCACGCTGCTTGACTGTATCAGTTTTGATGAGTTTATCTCGGAGGTTATCTTACCGTCCCTAGCTGATCCGACATCGAGAATTGTGGATGTTATACCATGCCGTCCAATGCAAGAAATTGCCGTGAGAGGGACAACTCAACTACCACGATACTCGGCACGATATGAGCTCTTCTATCTGGATGATACGGTTGACCGACACCGACTATTCGAGAGCTGTCGAAAGCTTGTATCTCGCAATGAGATACTCCGCACCATCTTCACCTCACACCAGGACCGTTTTTATGGGGTTGTCGTGGAAAATTTGGACATTCCTGTGGTTGAGTATACCATCGATGGGGACTTGGAGGGCTTTGTGAAGAGACTATGTGATCTTGATGTGCAAACTAAGATGCCAGAAGGGGCTCCGTTCGTCAAGTTCTTCTTCGTCCAGGGTGAAGGCAAGCGAAGTTGTTTGATCATGAGGATATCACACGCTCAATACGACGAGATCTGCCTCCCTCAACTGTTACACCAACTAGTAGCCATATACGAAGGAAAGCCTATCCCAGGGACAGTACCGTTCTCACATTTCGTATACCATACTGTACGCGACAACATTCCCGAAAGCATTCCTTACTGGCAACATCTTTTACAGGGGTCATCAATGACCACTTTGAGACCGAATATAGAATTGTTATCGAGAAGGGTGGCAACTATATCTACTACGATCGATCTATCCAGTCGACTCAAGAGGATTACTCCAGCAACCCTCCCAGCTGCCGCCTGGGCACTCTGTCTGGCGCGGCGGCTCTCCCTGCGAGACGTTACATTCGGGGAGGTTGTCAGTGGACGCAATGTGAACTTTCCAAATTGTTACGAGGTCATGGGACCTACGTGGCAGTACATTCCGGTCCGTGTCAAATTCGATGAGACTTGGACAGGATCGGACTTACTTGAATATGTTCAACAGCAACACATCGATACTTCTCGCTACGAAGGAATCGGGTTCAGTGAAATCATCCGCGACTGTACAGACTGGCCGGAAACGGTCGATTGGTTTGATTCTGTAGTCCACCAAGACGTGGAGCACGTTGAAAACCTCTCATTTCTTTCAACGAACAGTCGCATGGAAACGTACTACCCTCATCTCGAGCCTCTTCGAGAGTGGAAGATACAGACTTTCTTTGGGGGTAACTCTGTCAAAGTGGAAATCGTTACCTTCGAGGACTGGCTTGACTTTGGAACCTCAGTGTTGAATGAACTGAGCGACTGTTTCAGACAGTTGGTGAATCAGCCTGATGTGGCGCTCCTCTAGTCAGAAGGAGAAAAAGCAAGACCTGGTATGGTGGAAATAGTACTGAATTTGGAGTATTGATTTAATGATACATTTCATGTTTTGCTATAAAATCGCTGATAACAATTTTGATGTTTGGTAATCCACTAAAGGAAGTTCTTGAGGGCCTCTGCACTTCCATCCAGATCCTCAAAGACATGCCAGTGTCCGGTCTCTTTCAACATAACCAGTCTTGAGTCTGGTAGAATCTTGGACAGTTTCTGTGTGTAGGCCGGCGGACTGACTTTATCCTCATCACCACCGAGGATTAAGACTCTGGACTCGATCTTTGTAAGGTCATGTTGCAGATGGTGGGCTGAGGCCAGCGCCGTACACCCCTTAGCATAAGACTCGGGATTTTGACTGAAGAGACTCATCAAGACCGCAGAGAAAGCACTCGACTGATGTGACTTTGTCTTTTCGGAAGTCCCTGCTGCCCCTACCGCTCTTGCCACATTGCGCATACCCTCCTTTCTGACTGTCGTGGCTCTCTTGATGCTTGCTTCGTATCCTGGCTGTGGCAGGGGGTTAGGTGGAGGTCCGATCAAGACTAGTCGTTGCACAAGGTCTGGATACGCAAGTGCAAAGTCTTCTGCAATAAGGCATCCCATGGAATGAGCTACGATTGTGACCTCTTCGTTCAACGACAGTCTCAAAGAGTCGGTTGTCAGAAGATCATACAAGTCGGATGCAAGACTTGAGATTGTTATCTCACTGCGAGCCGAAGTGGGCGACAGTCCATGGCCCTCGAAGTCGTACAGTAAGCAAGTGTAATTATCCGCAAGCTTGAGTTTGTCGACGAGTTGTGTATAGAAGGTAGTGTTGCCTCCCAGACCATGGACGAATACTATCAAGCGCTTTCCATTGCCGAGCTTTTCGACATTGAGTTGTTTCCCAGACTTGATCGTTGTGAGTCCAAGGCCACCCAACGTGCTCTCAAGATTCTGGACTGGGACGACTTTTGTCGCTTCTGCGGCAAGGCTCTCAGATATTGCCTTGGAGTCTCGAGTAGTTGATATTGTGTTTCGTAGAGTCCCCAGGCCGCTGACGGTAATCTCCACCACGTCACCCGACTTCAGGAAGACCGGAGGTTTCCTGCCGATACCAACACCTGCAGGAGTTCCGATGGCAATTACATCGCCAGCAACAAGTGTCTGAGACTCTGACAGAGTCTTGATGATTTGAGGGATTGAAAAGATCAGTTGTGAAGTGTCTGCTTCTTGTCGCTTTTCTCCATTGACATGTGTTGTTGTTGTGAGAATCTCGGGCAGCTCTGAAGCAGGGACCGCAAATGGACCCATGGGACAATATGTATCTGCTGATTTGCCTGGAGTAAACTGTGTTAGGAAGCTGAATTTCTGGGGTGTGCAACGAAATAAAACTCACCAATGTAGAATTGCTTGTGATCTCGTTGCTTCTCTCGTGCTGTGATATCGTTGATGATGGTGTAGCCCCAGATGTGGTTCATTGCATCGTCCTCCGATATCTTGAATCCACCTTTGCCAACTATGACACCAATCTCGCCCTCATAATCAAGAGTCGAAGTGAAATCCTCGTCAAGATACACGTCTTCTTCGTGTGAGACAATCGACGACGCTCGCTTCGTGAAAATGACTGGATGTGAGGGACGTGCGACTTTATCTGATGAATCGTAACCACTTGAGTGGAACTCTTTGGCGTGATCCAAATAATTCTTTCCTACGGCCAGTACATCTCTATCCGAAACAGGGGGCAAGAGCTTTACGCTGTAGGATGTCAGTAATGCTTTACCAAATCAACACCGAAGGATGCTTACCTGGCCTTCGATACCACCTCTCCGCTGAGTTTTAGCTCTGACAGTGGTATGGACAGAATTTGTTCAAGTCTCTCAACAGGGGTCCCGCTCGCGAATGCAAGTTCGGAGATGGTCTGATCTTGTAGATTCAGGTGGCCTACCCTGGTCCTGTCCGTACCGTCCTTGAGGGCGTAGGTCATAAAGTTCCGAGCTTTGACTTCTGCCGGTGCCACTGGGGCCTGCGAAACCTCCTGTCGCAGGAACTCTTTGTAGCTGGCTTTGTGGATACGCCCATTAATCATGATGATGTTGAGCTTCTCGTGCTCTTGCAGAATGGTTATGTCATCCAAGGGATTGCCGTCAACAAGAATACAATCAGCGTAGTAGCCGGGAAGAATCTTTCCAAGTTCTTCTTCGCGCATGAAGAGCTTAGCAACTCCAGCCGTTGCAGAGATAATTGCCTCCATGGGTGTAAAGTCGAGCAACTTGACAAAGTGCTCAAGGTCGCGTGCATAGGTTCCATGTGGCGTCCAGGCGAAGCCGTAGTCGCCTCCTGGGAGGATGCAGATCCCTCTGCGATGCATTTCTTTCAAGCCTTTGATGGCGACTGCCAATTCTTCGGTATAACCAACTTGCTCAGCTTTTTCAAATGAATAACCAAACGCAGATGCATCATAAATCGTAGCGTATAGCCAGTTGATTGCAGGAGCCACAATATGCTTATGCTTGTTCTTTTCAAGCATGTCCATGCCCTCATCATCGATCCATGAGCCATGGTAGATGACATCGACGCCGTGGCGAACGCATTGTTTGATACTGTCTCTTGCTCGAGCATGTGAGCAGAGACGGATGCCATGTCGGTGCGCTTCGTCAACGCAGGCTGCCGTTTCTTCGTCTGTAAAATAGCAATCCTGGGCATCTCTCTTTTCAGTGATCTGTTCGCCTGACATGGAAAGCTTTATTTGGTCCACACCAAGGGCGATCTGATGTCTGATCGTCTCGCGCATCTCCAATGGGCCTTTTGCAAATGCAGTGATTCCAGGCACGAGTTCGCCGTCAGGAACCGCCATCTCTCTGCCGTTGGCCAGATAACGTGGGCCAGGCAGATGACCTTCATTTATCGCGTCGCGAATTACGCTGTCGAGCTTTTGTTTAGCGGATGCTGCGCCGAAGCACATGGTGTAACCCGAGTCGAGGAACATCTGTGCATAGCGTGCAGACAGGAGCGTGTGTTCTTCGATTCCGAGATCACCAAGTTTCCCCAGGTCGCCGTTATTCCAGGAAAAATGTGTGTGAGCATCGCCGAGGCCACTCATGAGTGTCCTTCCACGACCCTCAACAACGCGAATGGCCTGGTCTTTTCGCAACTTTTCCTTGTCTGGCACCTCACCGACGTATCGCAGGCGTTCACCTAGCAGGTCATGTGTAAGCAATTGGCCGGTGCTTCGTCAAGTGGATGTGGGAACAGTACCTTCGATATAGACATCACCACGATATGGAGGTCGACCAGTGCTATCAATGATGTTCACGTCCAGAAACAAGATCTTTGATGAAGGATTGGTCCCTTTGATTTCATATCGCTTGGGGGCCAACTTCTTATCAAAACGAACATTCTCATGGTAATTCGTGGCCCCAGGGTATTGGCTTTTGAAGCCGTTTACCATGATACCGTCGTGATTCACTGCGGATGGCGCCATATTGAACAGCACTCGGTGAAGGGAGTAAAGACTGATACGATAAGCCGCCACAACCGACACGTCAGAATTAAATAAAAGATACCTCGACGGGCTCAGGGCCTCTCTACATGCCGAACTGGATGAAGCAGCCCCCTCCTTTTCCCCTCCTCCACAGCCACTCTAGAGTACGAATAAGCAGGTCTCCAGCTCCATGATCGCCAAGATCTCCAGCACTGGGGATCCCCCGAGCCGTCATCAGCCAAAGCGTTCTCCGTCTTCTCCGCCTTCCCCGCCTTCTCCGCGATTCCCCATTCCATTTCTGGGATAACGACGTTGATCTTGTGACGTTGAAGAGAGAACTACAAGCCGGCGCCTAAAGACCGAACTATTGAATTTATCAATACTCAGGTGGCTAGAGATGGTCGTCCGAATACAGAGTGGGCCACGAGGTGGCAGATAAGGGATTGAGAAACCGACCCTCTCCTTGCCTAAGTATCTCTTTTTTTTGCCGGCTATTTCGCAATATTGGCGAACTACCTGTGGTTTGACAGAGTTGTACCTCTGAATATGGCCTGGTGGTGAGCTACAGCCTCAGGGACAGAGCCAGTGCTAGACAAGCATTGGATCCGAACCCACATTCTTCCCACGGATGTGTTTCTTATGGTACCTGGAGTGAGGTTGTTGAACCCAGCCCCGGACACGCATCTGCACTTGTGCTTTCCTTATGGAAGATGTCAACAACAGGGGCACCGGAGGCCTCTAGGCAGAATGGCACACTCAGAACCGACTCAAGACACTTCGCCATTTTGAAGCCGACACACCCACAAAACGAATTACCCCAGATCCCAGCAAGTGAGGTTGTGTTACATGATGGTGTTAACGGCAGACGCCTTTGTATGTGCATCTTCTACCAGTCTCCTCACAGACATCTAAGCTGATAATGTCATAGGGATAGTAGTTGATGAAATTGTATACGACTGTAGTGACTTTATCAACGAACACCCAGGAGGCAAGCAGATTATCAAAGAGTTTGGAGGGCAAGATTGCTCGTGGCAGGTAAGGATATCTGAGCTTCCGTGGTGTACATATTAATGAATGTTTGCATTCAGTGGTGGACTTTTCATAGCAAGTCGATTCACGATATATATATGATGACAATGAGAGTGGGACGAACATCAGGCATTGTAAACAAGCATGAGAAGCCACAGAGGAATTTCTTCAAGCTTAGAACAGTCGGTGAGCAGTGGTGAACGCTACTACCGTCGAGAGATAAGAATCAAATCGGAAGTTGTTCTCGCTAGATACCCGTAAAGAGGTTTTCGTTGAAATTCTCCATAACACAATCCCAATCTTCCCAGGGCATAGCGGATGGAGTCATCCATTGCTGAGAATTGAATTGTCCGTACATCGTTTCAAAAGATGGCATCCTCTCTTCTCCGCTGCCAGTGCTATAGGTAAATTCCGTCGAACTGATCGGCTCCAGTGACAGTTTTTGAAGGCCATAATGCTGGTGTTGAGCTTCAGTCATACCATCCCTCTGCGGTGTGCCTATATGACCATCAGATTCCATGGACAGACTAGACC